CTAACACATCAGACTGGGTTACTGAATATCCTGGTTTGAGCCCTTCTCCTGCTTCTTAGTGTCTAAATAAGTTTGACAAAATTACTTCACCTCTCTGAAATTCAGTTTTTTTTTTCAACCATGAGCTGGAAATAAAACACATGTATCACAGGGTTTTTCTAAATATTAAATAAAGGGTGCAGTGTCTGAGGATGCTGTGCAAGCTATAAAGCACTTTATGAAGCTATAAAGTGGGAGATAATTATAACACAAATTTTAGAACTTGGGATGCTTTTCTTCTATATAACCCTGTAAAGTTTTCAAAGCTGCTATGGCTTGATAAATTACAGGATAACATGCTTTTAATCATAACATTTGCAAAGTCCTTTTTTTCTTTCATATAAATATAGTAGGCACTCAATAAATGTTTGGAAAAAAGGAAAGATGATTGGATAGGAGAGAGGGAGAGAGAGAGGGAGGGAGGGAGGGAGGGAGGGAGGAGACAGCACACAAGGGTAAATAAGAGTTGCTCATGACGTTTCAAATTTTCCCTCTAAATTTTGTTTTTAAATGTGTTGTTTGGGCTGGGACTGTAGCCAAGTGGTTAGAGCACTCCCCCTTGCATGGGTGAGGCACTGGGTTCAATCCTCAGAACCACATACAAACAAGTAAAATAAAGGTTACATTTAAAATATTGTGTTGCTTGACATTAAATAAATAAATAAGAACAATATAATATATGAGCAAGTTAGTAAGCTTGTTTTTCTGCTATTTTTTCATTCAACAAAAATTTATTGAGCAACTACCATCAGCTGGTTGTTGTGCAAGATTCAGAGACAATTGAATATGTCACTTTGTTTTGATGCCTGTTTCTTTTGCTGCTAATTTTGCTCCTTAAACGTTCTGAGGAATGCAGAACGAACTGACACTTGTACAGTCCTGTGAGGGGCCCCAGCAGTGTCAGGGCTGCACTTGTCAAATCTCATCTTGAGAATTGCTTCTTGATGTACATGTGCAGCCTGTGAATCTTCTAGGGATGGTAAAATGTGGTTATTCAGAAAGGAGAATGCTCCTCCCAACTATTCTTGCTTTTTCTGCTCATTCATAGGCCTGTTTTAGCCCCTCCAGGCTCTAGAGGGACACAGGAAAATGAGATTGTCAGCTCCTGGATTCATGTGGTCACCGGGAGCATCGCCCACCTACTGCTATTGAATCAGGGGCAATGATAGGCAGAGCGTCAAGAACCTCCCAGGAGGGAACCTGGGCAAGCCTGCCTCTTGCTGGTGCTGTGCAAACCTGACTGGTGGTTGCCTAAGTAATCTTGGGACTGGATAATCAGCATCTGGAGAGGGACTTTTTGTTCTTGTCTCCTGGTGAGGAGCCCCTGTACCTGATATATCAGAAGACACACTCTATGTATCCTATATTGAGAATGGCTGAGGAAAGAAAATTTGTGATCCATTCTTCTATAGTAGAGATGAGGGAACTAGTTCTAACTCGTGGCAGAACTGGGGTTAAAACTCTGATTTTTTCTTAGTCCAGTGCATTCATTATGTTCCATAGTGAACTGACATTTCCAAATATATATCCTTCTTAGAAGACAATTATAACATCATAGAGTGAGGGAGTATAGAAAGAATATGGGCTTTGGAGTCAGAAAGAACAGATCAAATCCTGGCACTGCTTCCTATATCTGTATGACCTTGGACCAGTTACTCTGATCCTTTGTTTCCACGTCTGTTGAAGGTAATAAAGAATATTTACCTTTAGTGGATGTTGTAAAGATTAAATGAGAGAATATGTAAAGACTTAGCATAGAATCCAGCCTATCTTCAGTCTCTAATATGTTTTCCAGAAACAAAGGAAGAATGCAGTTGACTTGAGAGAAAGTTTGTGGTTTGTTGATGTTGGTGATGGTAGTGGTAATGGTGACACGGTTACCATTGATCAAACATCTATTTTTTAGCATTCAGTATCAGAGCAATCATGTGATTTTGTTGTTTTCTTTATTCTATAGCAGATACGTTTCCAAATTCCATTCTTCTCTCATCCTAACTCACTAGTGTTCAGGTGCTTACATGGATAAATCAATCAATGAATCTGTCAATCAGGGAATCTGCTAACCAGAAAAGAAGCAAAAAAAAATTACCCACACATTTATCTTTTCCTCAATTTTTAAGTGTCTATAGAAATTGAACGACCCTCTAAGGTTAACTTTGCCTGTACCTATGAGTGGAGCCAATAAATGCGGACCTTGCTCAGGAAACCTTAAATTGATTTATAGCACTGTGGGCTAGAAGCGGTCAACCCCTTTTCTGTCAGGGATCTCAGTATCAGAAGCTTAAGACCTCAGTACTTTGAGATGTGTAGATAATAAACATCAATTGCTTGGATGTTGGGTTTTGTTTTGGAGACAAACCTACAGTCTTAATGTTGAAGAACAAATACTTTGGCGTTAGATTGCCTGAATATGAATTGCAGTGCTGTCCTTGGGAGCTCTGTGACCCTGAAGAAGTTTCTTTTCATCTCTAAGCTTCAGTTTCTTCATTTGTAAAATAAGGATAATAACAGTCACATTAGTAAGTTGTTTTAAGAATAAAATGAGATGTCTAAGGAGAGCATGCAAGAAGAACTCAGTTAAAATTAGCTCATATCTGAAGTTTCTTCCTGTCCTAAACTCCTTGTGTCCCGAATGGGGAACCTATCACTCAGGATCCAGCCAGAGAGGCATAAGCCACTCTAAGTGCTTATAAAAGGAATCTCAGCTGTTTCTCCCTCTCGAGATGGCCCACATTCTCCCTTGAATGTGTATTCCTTCCTTTACCCCAAAAGCCTCTCACTCTTAAAAGAGCCCACATTCCTGGAATGTGTGTCTGCTTTCCTAAGTAAATCTGTCTTTACCTCTAAAACATCTACCACCACCACAACATCTATTGATATTACTATTGTTACAAAAAAGAGGGAATTTTATATAGAAAATGTTGATCAGATGATGAAAGAGCGAGAAGCTAGAGAGCAGCTGCCACCATAGGACAGAAGTCAAAGAAACAAGATGGTGTTGAGAGTGGTGGACTCCAGCAGATGCTGTGGCGGTGGCCATCCTGCCAGCAGAGTCTAAGTCAGAAGGAAACAGCACTCCTGGGCCTTTACCTGAGACAGAGAAGGAAGAGAAGGTCTGCTTGGGCCTTCCCTTTCCTCCAGCCCTCTGGCAGGACCGACCTTGACTGAGTCTGGGAACCACAGTCTGCAGGGGCAACCCCCCCCCATACCAAGCAGAACAGGGGGCTTGTTCTGAAAACAAATAGGGCCCAGGACTCTTGCAGGCTCAAGTCTCAGACCTCAATTGCCTGTTTGCTATTATAACCAACACAGAAAGTTTGGAAGAGCTGTACTTCCCCCTACTGCTGGGCCTCTGAACAATAGCAGAGGTACACCAATTGCTGTACCCAGAAGGTAGAATTTGGAAGAAATAATGAAAAAAATCTAGAAAGCTGTAAGAAGACTGTCTGTGGCCCCTAGATCCCACTTTCTAGAAAGACCTGCTTGCTTGAGCAACTAGTGCCTTCAGTATCCAGGAATTTGTGGCTTTTACCTGGCTAACTTGTGCAGAACTCCACATGGACTGAAAGCCTGGGGAAACCCTAGAGCCTCCATGGTTCCCTCTCTCTATGTGTTCTGATCATTTGGGGTTCTCTTTTCCTTACCAGGCTGCAAGCACTCTGAGTGCAGGGCCTTTTCTTCTTTATCCTTGAATCCCCAAACATTTGTGCTCTCACTTTCTGCCCTGAGCTAGCAACTATGGTGTAAAGGGCTGCTAAGCATGTGAGCAAGGCTGTGCCAGCTTCCTGCAGCTTTCATTATAGAAGAGGGGCTCACAGCATGTGATGTCTCAAAACTACCACTGCCTCTTCTGTTGGGGAAGTCCAATGGTGCATGAAAACATTGAACAGGGAGACTCCTTTGGGGATCATGGAAGCTCTGAGAAAGTCACATCTGATTTAGGAGTAAATAGAAGCTAGCCTGGCAGAAAGTTGGGAATGGCATCCCAGGCAGACAGAAGAGCAGGTGCAGAAGAGCATATAGTATTGGAGTCTGAGGACAGAGAGGCCGTGCATGAAGCTGTTGAGATCAGCGGGATCTGTTCTCTCTGTATCCACGTCTGAGCCCTGCCTCAAGCCTATTTCACCTGCCTCCTGTTGTAGTTATGTACATTTGCATGCTCATGGCTCCCATATGCCATATGCCTGGCATAGCATTTACTGCATAGAAAGTACTTGTTGGATATTTGAATAAATGAAGGTAGAATAGCTTTAACTAACTCTGATCATATCTAATTTCACTTGTTTCGCAAGTATCAGGAATACAGTCTGTGGAAAAGCCTGAGTTTCCACCACATATGAGAAGCTCTGCTACTGGCGATCTTTAAACTAAAGGATTACCTCTCAGTCACCCTCTTCTTTACACCTGGAGCTCTGCAATAAGTATGCTGAAGAGATTCAGTCATGAAACACCACCTTTGCTTTGCCTTCTTTGAGATTGACATATGATACATTAAACCAGATTCCTTTTGGCTCTCTTCCTTATGATCGATGCCACCTTGGGCAAGTCACTGAACCTCTGCAAACCTTGGTTTCTTTTCTGATGTCTGTCTCTAACATTAATAACATCCACTTGACAGTATTAATCTCAAATGAGATCACTCCAGTTAAATATACAGCATAGTGCTGGTATTTAGTGAGCTCAAGATAATGGACAGCCACTGTTTTTAATATGTAAATAGGTACAGTTAACTGTCACATGCTATGCATGGACCAGAGCAAAGCAGGAACAGAACGAGTTTTCTAGTTTTCCTGAGGTAGAGGAGTATGCCCTTTTGGTTTGTATTTGAAATTGGTCTATACACGAGACTCTTCCTCTATGTTGCTTGGCTTTTAAAAGGTATTTTATGATTGTTTTAGCTTTCTTTCCTTCCTTCCTTTTTTTTTTTTTAAAGATGATTTTGTGGTTTTGCTTTCTCATAGGAGTGATTGGAGCAGATGTGAGGGGTCATGGCCTCATCTGTGAGGGACAGCCAGTGACGTCACGGCTGGCTGTCATCTGTGGAACATCTTCTTGTCACATGGGGGTGAGTGTGGGGCACAAGGGCAAAGCCACCGTGTAGGGTGGGAGGCAACTCAGGGGGAGATACTGAGCTGCTAGCTCTTTCTCTGCTCCTCTTTTTCCCAGTTTCCCCTCCTGCCCCCTTGTGCGTGTCTGGCCAGAAGCCTGGTCCTCCCTCCTGCAACCTTGCTTATATTTGCCTGCTCTTTTTCCAGGGGCCAAAGTCTTAAAAAGCATGAAAGGGTTGAGTCTGCCTTTGAATCCACCCTGACCATTGAACCCAGGCAAAAGGAGTGAAGTAGGGTCCACGAGGGCAAAGCCTCGCTCTCCCAGACCCATCTCTCTTTCAGGGGCAACTGACTCGTCCCTGGCAAGGTGGGAGTGTCTGTTTTCTTTGGCTGCTGAGCCCTTTCTCCATCAATATAAATCCATCTCCCTGGGAGTGTCCTGATGATCTATAGAATTAGGCTGCGTATCATGACTTCAAAAGAACACTGATAAGCAATTTTCACTTTGTTAATTTTTCTCCATGAATTAATGGAAAGGCTTTCTCCAAGATTGCAGTTAAAATTTAGTGCCTGCCCTAAAATTTATATCTTCTTTAAATGCATGAGTCTGAAAGCATTCCATTTCGATAAGTACCCATTTCTACCATATTTTTATTTAAAAGTCATTACTCTGTTAAACTGAGATAGACGACTCTCTGGATTTTTCCCAGATGAGTACAATAGAGGGGGAAAGAGGGGGAGGAGCAGGGAGATGAGCCTGAGAGTAGAGTGGGACACAGCCCAGAGCCGGAAGTCTGCAGCTAGGGAGGAAATCGTGTGCTGTGTGAAGCTGTTCAGGGACTGTAGGGACCACTGAGCCTCTTTTATTAGTAGATGCTTTGAGTAAATATCTATGCAGTTACTTTTTTACTGATTCCTGCTCTTACATCCTGCCTGTGCTAAACTCTGAGGCACAAGGAAGACATAGGCCCACCCATGGATGAGATAGAGTTGTAACAGATATTACAATGTGATATGAAGACCCAAATAGGTTTGGGTTGAACTCAGGATACTGACCATGTGGTCATGCTCGGGCACTTTGCATTCTATGGCCTCCCATGTTGTCAAGATAGTGGGGCCAGCCAGATTGGTTTCCAGTCCCACTTTCCCCCCTTCCTAAGCATGGGTCCATAGGCAAAGTACTCAACTCCCTCAGATTCCTCACCTGCAATCTGTGGGGTCTGATGGCAGTCCCTCACAGTAGGAGGCTGGAACAAGGCTGGAACGAGGCAGTGTGAGTGCTCAGGTGCATGAGCCCCTTGGAAGGCTGTCTCTTGATTATCAGCCCTGTTGCTATCCGGCCGGAAGGAGGCAGTGACTGACTGCCAGGAGGCATCCAGGGCTGCAGAAGGCCTCCTGGGGTAGCATTTGGGCTGGACTTTAGCAAATACACTTCTTTGTATTTCTTTAGACTCTAGGTGAGGCATTAAATGGAACTTCTTTAACCAAGTTTAGAAGTTCCCACATCCTTCCCCTTCAGCATCCTGTGGTAAAGCTTAGCTGTCTTGAAATCAGAGATCCACAGAGGCCTAAACTCTCTTCCAAAGGAAAGTGCCCAAACAGCCATCCAGCTCTTACTTCCCTTGATATTGGTCTATCCTTGTTCCCTTGTCTTCACTGATGACCAGTTTAAATCTACTTAACTCATCCCTCATTTTCACTGGGACACATCGAATCTGGCTTTTCCTGTCAAATCTAAGTCTCAAGCATTTTTACTCCACTCTCTTCAGGTTTCTAATCAAAAACAGATCTAAATGAATATAGGTGACTCTGTGAGGCTGCACTTCTCAGCCTGTCTCTTCATGGGATGATACTAGTGGTTTCCCCAAGGTCACAAAGACATTAAATTCTGGAACTAAGAACTTAAATTTTGCTGTACATTGTTCCAATGTTCACACTCCATAATGCCCTGTTGTATTGTGCCTGCTCACCACAGGGCCATAGAGGAGTGAGGAACATGGGCACACAGGTCATCATGTGCACAGGAACTCTTGCTTATCCACTTGCTGGCCCCATGACCCCAGTGAGCCTCTTAACTTCTCTGAGACTCAGATTCTTCCTCCATCAAGTTGGGGGAGTGGTGCCAATCTTGCAGGATTGTTGGAGAGCCTGTATTAGCTCCATCTGTACCTGGCAACAGGAGACTGAAATGGTGGGGATTCTTATGAAAGTTTCCCAGTGACATAAAATGCTCACATGAAGCAACTGTTTGGGCTTTAACGAATTTGATGGGCAGCCGCATTTGGTTGCAATGAATAAGGGCCATAAAATGCCAGTTTATTATGTCGTGTTATACTGGAAATAACAGCCCCCACCCCCACCCTGCTTTGTACTTGGGAGTGGGAAGGGACCTTCTGGGCCAAGGGGATTAATCACTAGCTTTAATGTTATGTCATGAGGGCGAGACTGTGGTCATGCTGGGAACAGAGAGTGCCTTTGATCTCCCTCAGGTGTTGGGAGCCAGCATGCCAGCAACAATCACACCTTTGTGAGGTCTAGGGGAGGTGCAGGTTGGAGAAACACTCCCAGGGAAACTCAAGGACCCCCTTTGTTGTGGTTCTGGCAAATAAAACCACCACTGTCAGGAAAAAATTGCCACACAGAACTCAGGGCTATGGGTTTTCCAAAAAGTGGTTTCAACATGACCTACAGAATTCTCTTGGTGTCTGCTCACTTCTGGTGTTTCCAATTCAGTGGGTTAATTGAGACAAAATTCCCAGAGACAATTTATGCTTGATCCAAGTTGCTCTTTTCAGATCACCCAAAAGGAATGAATGAATGAGTGAATGAATGAGCAAGCAGTAATTGAGTATTGGTAAATACTTAAAAGGTCCCTACCTCTAGGTTCCTGTTACCTCCAGGAATCTGGAGAAAAAGCCTGAGGTTGAACATAAGACGTACTAATCAGGCCTTTGATATTTTAGAAGATACAAGTGTGGGCTGCACATTCATCTTCCTCAGGGATGATTTAATTAAGAAGGAAAAAATGCTGTTCTTTTTTTAACTCCATGAAAGCAGAGCTGCTTATTCAAAGTTAATTACTACCAAGTCACCAAAACCCAGGATAACACGCGGCAGGGGTTAGCCAGAGGTTGAAAAGTCGCAGGGTCAGATGGAGATGATCCCTGTTGCTCCAGCACACCTCTTCTGGAGCTGTCAGGTCAGGTTGGAACTTGGCAGCTTGTCCTCCAGCTAGGTGTCGGGTGCGGGGCAAACCCTGTGGCAGAGCCAGGAGGGGCGTGGAGGGGGTAAGGCTTGCGCAGAACAATGCCTGAGGAGAGCTGGGGAGTATTGCTGCACCTATTTAGGTGAATTTAGAAATGAGGGTTTTATGTGAACATACAGCTAGTGATTCTGTCACTGCACAGCCATGGAATCTCTAAGAAGTGGGCCCCTGTGCTAACCCTATTTCTAACTGTGAATTTAGGTAGATATTTTATCTTTTAGTGCCTCAGTTTCTCTATTTGTTAAATGTGGGCAATAGTATTTTTCCATAAATTTATGTCAAAAATTAAATTGAGTAATCTCTGTAAATAGTTTAGCACTATACTTGAACATAAGACGTACTAATCAGGCCTTTGATTAATACTAAATATAGTGTTGTCATTACATATTAAATATAGTGTTGTTATCTCTAAGATGTGGGCCCCTGTGCTAGCCCTGTTACTGACTGTGAATTTAGTAGATACTTCATTTAGTATCTCAGTTTCTTCATTTGTTAAATGTGGGTAACAGAACACCCCATGCCCTGATCTTGTTTCTAATACCCTGATCCAAAATAAAGAGAATCATGATGTCTTGCACAAGGTTGATTCTGGGATTGGGACACAAAATACATAAGATGACAAAATACCAGAGGCTCTGTATTTTATAAGATAAAAGGTTCATTTAGCTCACAGTTCTGGAGGTTGAAGGGCATGGTACTAGCTGGCTTTGGCTCAGCTCTGGTGAGGACTTCTTTGGCTGAGTCACCAAATAGCAGATGTCATTATATTGAAAGGGGAGAGGGAGACATGAGGGTGGGGGAGGGAGAGGGAGAGAGGAGGTAAGAGGGAGCATGGGAAGGGGCCAGTGGGACCTCCCACTAGGACCCATCTCTTAAAGGTCTCACATCTCTTAACATTGCTACATTAAGGACCAAGCTCTCAACACATGAACCCTTGGGGGACACACTTTAACTATACTCAAACCATCTCAAAGGTATAAAATAGGTTAATCATAAGATTACAATGTTAAGTAATAGAAGCAAGTCCCCCTCCCCCCACAAAAGAGTAGACACTATACAGTTTCAATATTTTAAAACCTAGGAAATGCAAACACATAATATAGAAAGCACATGGGTGATAGTGGTTACCTAGAATGGGGGAATGGTTATAATAAGGACCAAAAGAGTAGAATTACAGGAAAGATTTGGAAATGATGTATGTATTTGTCTTTATTCTGGTTATATCTTCATTGGATATGTTGTGTCAAAGCATCAAGTCAGACATTTTAGATATGTACAATTTATTAAATGCTAACTAAAGCTAAAGCTTTTTTAAAAACTAAAGAGAACACTGTGGGGGGATAACAATATCAATAGTATCCGCAGTCATTTATATAGTTCACACAGTATCATAGACACTATTCTAAATACATCCTTAAAATCACTTTTGAAACAGTACACAGTAGGCAATTAATAAATATTCATTTACACTTTTTTCCTTCCTCAGTAGATTCTGTAGCTCTTGTGAGATATATATCTCCTATTGTTATTGTGCTTCTTGTGTCTTAATCCAACTTATATGTCAGATGAAGCTGACTTGCTTAGAGGGTCCATGATTCCTGTGCTTTCTTTGGGCCCATCCCGTCTAGTGCAGCACTGGGTGCACAGTGGATGCTTAGTGGCCACACTGCTGGATAGCTTTTCTGAGGGAAGTGTGCAAGTGCTTGTATTTTCTCAAGTCTCTCTCACTCCGTTCTCATCCACTAGTGTCAT